CTGCTGTCTGTCTGTCTGTCTGTCTGTCTGTCTGTAGACTGTCTGTCTGTCTGTCTGTCTGCAATCTGTCTGTCTGTCTGTCTGTCTGTCTGTCTGTCTGTCTGTCTGTCTATCTATCTATCTATCTATCTATCTATCTATCTATCTATCTATCTATCTGTCTGTCTGTCTGGCTGTCTGTCTGTCTGTCTGTCTGTCTGTCTATCTATCTATCTATCTATCTATCTGACCCTTCCACCTTTTGGACTGTAGATTTATAACTTTTTCTCTCCACAGATGTCCCGGGCTGAAAAATTAATCTCCCATATTGGGGGCTGTGGGGGCCATATTTGGCCTTGTGGAGAGTAAAAAGGACGGACAACAAAACGTGGCCGATCAGAAAGGTCCCCCAAAATAAAAGAAGCAAAAGAGATAAAAGGTTCCCAGACAGTGACTAGTAGTTTGGACTTGTTGTTCAGGCCGGGGTCAGGCCGGGGTGGTTCGGGGGGAGGGGGATGCGGAACTTTGCCTAAAAAATGATGCTGAAGCAGAGAAAAATGCAACTTTAAGAAAAGAAGAGAGAAAGATAAAGAGAAACGTAACTTAATTATGCTGGATACTAATGGAAAGTTTAAAGCTGAGCCCTCACACGAAGAGACGGTCGCATGTTAGGGAGAGAAGTAACTCCCATCTTTGTGTTCAGATGGATATTACTTTTCTTTTGTAAATCCTATAAAAACTCACCTTTTTATTTGGAAATCGACTAAAAGTTCAGGTTTTATTCCTCTTAAAAACTCAAGAGCGCCACTTAGCAGCAGGTCAGATGATGCAACCAGTAACTATAGAACTACAGCTTAATGAAGGAAAATTTGGCTGGAGGATGAACGCAGTCCAGCATGTAATGCATATGAAAGTTGAACTGATATCTCTGTGAAGGTTATCGATCTAATGAGTCATCAGCCCAAATAGGCTGATAATGATCAGATTTGCCTTGCTTCATTTTTATCAGCTTGAACAAATCTGTTTCATATTTATAGCCTCATGCAATCAAGAATGTAATTTGAATTTTATATTACCTTGCAAAAATATTCACACACTTTTTCTCATTTTGCCACAGTGTCAAAGTCTTCCACGGTTCATCTTGAAAACTATTACACGTTTCTCATTTATGTTTTTTTTTTCTTGACAGGAACCATGTGGAATAAAGTGGTCAGATGGGATCAAAATGAAACTTTTCAGTCTAAATGACATCACATAGTGGTTGTATCATGCTGTGGGGTGGGTTTTCTTCATCAGGGACAGGAGAGCTGGAGAGAGTAAACAACCAACCTGAAAAAAAATCTTAGAAAAATACTGGAAACTAGACTGGAGCTTCACCTTCCAACAGGACAGTGAGCATAATCACACAGTCAGTTCAACACCAGATGTTTCCATCCAACTGTCATGTCAATTTTGAGTGAACTTTTAAAATGATGTAAAAAAGAAAAAAAAGAAAGTGCGACATAGTTTCCATTGGAGCGACCAGCTACACAAAATGTAGTTTCATCAACTACTGATGTAACACATGGTTATAATAAGTAGAGATTGCAAGTTAGCATGGAGCACACGTCAAAATGTAGAGGTTTTCAGAAA